CCTCAGAATTTGTATTTTCCCTTCAGGACTGGTTTCGTCTCAAGGTTGGGGGATTTTCCCCTCAAAGTTAGAATTTTCCCCTCAGGATTGGCATTTTTCCCCTCAGGATTGGAATTTTTCCCCTCAGGATTGAGATTTTTCTCTCAATTTTGAGGTTTTTCTCTCAGGATTGGGATTTTCTCCTTCAGGATTGGTTTTTTTCCCCTCAGGATTGAGATTTTTCTCTCAGTTTTGGGATTTTTCCCTCAAAGATAGAATTTTCCCCTCAGGATAGGGATTTTTCCCCTCAGGGTTGGGTTTTTTCCCCTCAGGGTTGGGATTTTTCTCTCAATTTTGAGGTTTTTCCCTCAGGATTAGAATTCTTCCCTCAGGATTGGGATTTTCTCCCTCAGGATTGGGATTTTTCCCTCCATTTTGGGGTTTTTCCCTCAGGATTCGGATTTTCTCCCTCAGGATTGGGATTTTTCCCTCCATTTTGGGGTTTTTCCCTCAGGATTGGGACATTTCCTTCAGAATTAGATTTTTTCCCTCAGGATTGGGATTTTCCCCATCAGGATTAAAATTTCTTCTCTCAGGGTTGGGATTTTTCCCTCCATTTTGGGATTTTTTTCCTCAGGGTTAGAATTTTCCTCCTCAGAATTTGTATTTTCCCTTCAGGACTGGGATTTTCTCTCGGGGTTGGGATTTTCCCCTCAAAGTTAGAATTTTCCCCTCAGGATTGGCATTTTTCCCCTCAGGATTGGAATTTTTCCCCTCAGGATTGAGATTTTTCTCTCAATTTTGAGGTTTTTCTCTCAGGATTGGGATTTTCTCCTTCAGGATTGGGTTTTTTCCCCTCAGGATTGAGATTTTTCCTCTCAGGGTTGGGTTTTTTCCCCTGAGGGTTGGGATTTTTCTCTCAATTCTGAGGTTTTTCCCTCAGGATTAGAATATTCCCCTCAGGATTGGGATTTTCCTCCTCAGAATTAGAATTTCTCCCTTCAGGGTTGGGATTTTTCTCTCAATTTTGGGATTTTTCCCTCAAAGTAAGAATTTTCCCCTCAGGATTGGGATTTTTCCCCTCAGGATTGGGATTTTCTCCTTCTGGATTGGGATTTTCTCCCTCAGGATTGGGATTCTTCCTTCAGAATTAGAATTTTTACCTCAGGATTGGGATTTTTCCCATCAGGATTAGAATTTCTCCCCTCAGGGTTGGGATTTTTCCCTCCATTTTGGGATTTTTTTCCTCAGGACTGGAATTTACTCCTCAGGATTAGAATTTTCCCCTCAGAATTCAGATTCTTCTTTTAGGATTGGGATTTTCCCCTCAGGGTTGAGATTTTTCTCTCAGTTTTGGGATTTTTCCCTCAAAGTTAGAATTTTCCCCTCAGGATTGGGATTTTTCCCCTCAGGATTGGAATTTTTCCCCTCAGGATTGAGATTTTTTTCTTTCAGTTTTGGGATTTTCCCCTCAGGGTTGGAATTTTTCCCTCAGTTTTGAGGTTTTTCCCTCAGGATTGGGATTTTCTCCTTCAGGACTGGGATTTTTCCCTCCATTTTGGGGTTTTTCCCTCAGAATTAGAATTTTTTCCTCAGGATGGGGATTTTCTCCCTCAGGATTGGGATTTTTCCCTCCATTTTGGGGTTTTTCCCTCAGAATTAGAATTTTTCCCTCAGGATTGGGATTTGCTCCCTCAGGATTGGGATTTTTCCTTCAGAATTAGAATTTTTACCTCAAGGTTGGGATTTTTCCCATCAGGATTAAAATTTCTCCCCTCAAGGTTGGGATTTTTCCCTCCGTTTTGGGTTTTTTTTCCTCAGGATTGGAATTTTCTCCTCAGGGTTAGAATTTTCCTCCTCAGAATTCGAATTTTCCCTTCAGGATTGGGATTTTCTCTCAGGGTTGGGATTTCCCCCTCTGGATTGGGATTTTCCCCCTCAGGATTGGGATTTTTCCCCTCAGGATTGGAATTTTTCCTCTCAGGGTTGGGTTTTTTTCCCTCAGGGTTGGGAATATTCCTTCAATTTTAGGATTCTTCTCTCACAATTGGGATTTTCCCCCAGGTTTGGAAATTTTCCCCTCAGGGTTGGGATTTCCCCCTCAGGATTGGGCTTTTTCCCTTAGAATTAGAATTTTTCCCTCAGGGTTGGAATTTTCTCCTCAGAATTGGGATTTTCCCCCTCAGAACTGGGATTTTCCCTCCGCTTTGGAACTTTTCCCCTCAGAATTGGAATTTTTCCCTCAGGGTTTGGATTTTTCCCTCAGGATTAGAATTTTTCTCCCTCAAAATTGGGATTTTTCCCCTCAAGGATTGGCATCCCACTTCTTACATATTTTTTATCCTCAATTTGTGCCAAAGGAAATGTCCAAATCCTCAAGTTTTTCCCTCAACTCTAAAAATCCTAAGGAATAAACTCCCTTAAAAAAATGATTCCTGAAATTCCTCCTGGTGAGGGAACATTCCTCAGGGATTTGTGGGAATGCTGAGGTTCAAATCCACCTTTTTAGCTTTTCCCTAGATCTGGGAATGAAAATTCAGGAATTTTCGTGCTGCTTTATCACTTCAGGGTTTGATTCCTGGGATTTTCCTGGAAATGGCTGAGTTTAAAAGTCCTGAAATGCCAAAAATAAGGAAAATTCCTAGAGAAATCTGGGATAAATCCTGGATTTTTGGGATAGGGTGTGAGGGTTATAAGGAACTAACCGGATTTTAGGGGTAGGGAATGGGATTTGTAAGGAATGGTTGGATTTAAAGGATAGGGAATGGTTGGATTTTAGGGATAGGGATAAGGAATGGTTGGATTTTAGGGAATGGGGATTTTGTTAGGAATGGTTGGATTTTAGGGATAGGGAATGGTTGGATTTTAGGGATAGGGAATGGTTGGATTTTAGGGATAGGGATAAGGAATGGTTGGATTTTAGGGAATGGGGATTTTGTTAGGAATTATTGGATTTCAGGGAGCTGCTGCTGCTCTCTCCATCCCAAATCCATCCCAAATCCATCCCAAATCCATCCCAAATCCATCCCAAATCCATCCTGCTCCAAACCCCGGCAGCTCTGAAGGAGCAATGACCATTTACTGTTGGAATTCCCATCCTGGGAATTGGAACTGGGAACGATTCCCTGGAATTTTCCCTTCCCGCTGCCTCCTTTGGGGTGATGGGATGCGCGAATCCCGCTCCGATCCCTCTGGAATTGGAAAATCCTGACCTTGGGTTTTGTTTTCCAGGCTGAAAGCGGGAAAAGGGAAGCGAAGACAGAGGACGGGAGCAGAGGAAGGTACAGCCCGCGAGGATTTTGGGGAATTCTTGGGAATTTTATCCCTTTCTTTTCCCTCATGGAATGTTTATCCACAATCAGGGATTGCTGAGCCTCCCTCCAGGTTTGTCCTGCTGCTCCTCCTTCCCAATCCGTGCGCTCCAGAGCCAAAACATTCAGGATTTATTAAAAAAAATCATGGAAAAATGGGGTGAAATCCCAATTCCTGTGGAGTTTTCCTCGGTTTTCTCCCCTGCTCAGGTCCTGGCTCCTCCTGTTGCTTTTATTCCATCCTGCAGCTCTTCCCTCTATCCCCGCCTCTGGAATTCCTCTTCCCAACTACTGAATTCCCAGAAAATTTTAGGAATTTTTGTTAAATATGGCTTCAATCCCTTTTTTTCTGTGATTCCAACTCGGATTTCTGGATGAGTTTTGTTGTGAAAAACCCCAAAATTGTCTAAGGGTGATCCTAAAATTTAAGGAATTCTGTTATGGAAAAGCTCTGTATTCCCACATCCCGTTTTTTTTCCTCGTCATTCCATGAAACTGCAGAATTTTGGGAGTGTTAATTCCCAAATTAATGGGAGTGTCTTCCTCAATTCTTGATTCCAGACAGGTGGAATTAAAATATAAAGTAAAAAATTAAAATTAAAATTAAAATTAAAACTTAGATTAAGATTAAAATTAGAAAGTGATTTTTCCATGAATCCCAGCTCCTGAAAAGTTGGAAAATTTACATTTTTCCTTGCCCCACACATTTTCCACACAATTATTTTATTCTATCTTTTTGGGAGCAGAAAACATGGGAATTATGATTTTAATTATTAATTATTTATCTGGAGCTTTAATTCATTAAACTCCACCCCTGGGCTTTGCCTTTCTTTCCCAGGCTGCATTTTCCATGAATCCCTGGGATGAATTTTCCATGAATCCCAGTGGTTTTCCATGAATCCCTGGGATGAATTTTCCACGAATCCCAGGAGTTTTCCATGAATTCATGGGGTGAATTTTCCATGAATCCCAGGAGTTTTCCATGAATCCCTGGGATGAATTTTCCATGAATCCCAGTGGTTCTCCATGAATTCTTGGGGTGAATTTTCCATGAATCCCTGGGATGAATTTTCCACGAATCCCAGGAGTTTTCCATGAATCCATGGAGTAATTTTCCATGAATCCCAGGAGTTTTCCATGAATTTTTGGGATGAATTTTCCACGAATCCCAGGAGTTTTCCATAAATCCCTGGGATGAATTTTCCATGAATCCCAGTGGAAGAAAAAAACCAACTGAGCACAGCCAGAAATATTGAACTGATGGGAAAATCCCTTTGGATTTTTTGATTTGGATTTTTGGATTTGGATCCTGATATTTTTTTTCCAGGTTTTGGAGGAGAAATTCCCTGCTGGAATTCTGCTGGAATGGGTGCTCCAAGCACAGCCATCCCTAATTCCAGAACTTCCCGAGCTCATCCTGCGGGATTCTTTCCTTCAGGGAAAACCTCTGAAATTCCCTGGAAAACTCCATCTCTCACACCTCAGAGGGGGTGGAAAACCGGGATTTGAAACCCAACCCAAAAACTGATCCCAAATCCAAACCTGGGATTTGGGGATTTGGGATCCAAATCCAGTCTCTCGGGATTGGGAAGCACAGACAGAGCAAATTCCCTTATCCGGGAGCTTCGTTTGGGTTGGATATTCCCATTTTTCCCTCGATGGGATGGGAATTTTCCGTGTCCTGAGGCCTCCAAAACGTGAATTATTCACCTCCATTTGTCACCTTTTCCCACAGAATTCCCAATCCCGTTTCTTGACGCTCCAGGAAAATCCATCCGGAGCTTTCTGGGAATTCCGGAATTCTCCTCCCCACCGTTTGATTTCTTCTGTTTCTTTGGAATTCTTTTAGCTCGGGCTTGAAAAAAATTCCAGAGGTGCAAAAACCAGCCGGGAATCCGTCGGGAGAGGCCAGGAAAGGGCAAATTCCCACCCCAAATGTGCCGGAGGAGATTCCAGCGGGACAGCCGGAGATTCCCGAGTCTCAGGCGGGAGGAGCAGCGAGGGAGGACGCGGAAGGATCGGATCCTGGAACGGGAATTCCCGCGGATCCGGCCGGAGGGAAATCGCCCGGAGCGAGGTCGGAGGAGAAGCCGGCGCCGCTTTCCGGGGATGGGAAGGAAGAAGTTCGGGATGAGCCGGAGCTGGAAGTGCGGAAGGAGGATGAGGAGCCCTCTGCTCCCGCCGTGGAAGCTCTGGAATCATCCGGCAAGGCGATCCCGGCAGCCGGAGAAACGCCGGGAGCCGTCCCCGGAACGTCCCCGAGCCCGGACGAGGCTCTTGCGGCATCGCCCGGCGCCGAGCCGGCTGCTCCGGAAAAAATTCCCGTTCCCGAGGCCGGGAAAAGCGGCCGTGAAACGTCCACGGAGAGGAAATGTGTCCCAAAAACTCTGGATGCTCCGGGGAAAAAACGGGATGTGGCTGGAGCAGAGAGAGAGGGGACGGCAGAGGAATCCCTGCTGAAAATCGGGGAAAATCCGGGGAAAACTTGGAGCAAGGCTGGGACAGAGGTGGAGAAAACACCTGGAAAAACGTTATCCAAGGGTGGGGAAAACTCTGGGAATGCTGTGGGTGAGATCCCCGTGGGAAGTTCGGTTAAAATCCCACCAAATAAAGGGACGGGAGCGGCGAAATCCGAGGAAAGCCGCGCGGTGGTTCCGGGAAATCCCGGTCCTTCCCTGAAGGAATCTTGCGCTGGGAAACCCCTTTTGAAGGCGGTGGTGTCCATCCCGGATATCCTGAAGCAGAGAATTCCCGTCAGGATCACCGAGCCTTCCCTGGGAAAAGCTGGAGAGCAAAAAATCCCTCCCAGGGCGGGACCGGAGAAGAAAATCCCACCCAAAGCCGCGGCTCAGCCGGGAGCTGGGAACGGCCAATGGAAAGGGAACGGAAATTCCGGGGCGGATGCGCAGGGAGAGAGCGGGAAGAGCTCATCCCAACAGGAAAAGGATTCCCAGCTGGAATCTCGGGCGAGTTCCAAGCAGAGCCAGCAGGGAGAGAGCGGAACGTGTGGCACGAGGGAAGATCCCGGCGGGAATCAGGTGAGGAGGGCGGGAATGCCGCTGTTCCCTGGGATTCTCCCGCTCTGCCTTTCTGGGATTTTCCCTTTTCCATAAATCCCTGGGCCACCAGAGGAGCTGCCGGGGCAACCGGTTCCTTTTAGCCGGGATCGGAAAATCCCATGGAAATCCTTTCGGAAGCGAATCCAAACGGAATTCCTTGGAGCAGCTCCAAGTGGGAATAAACTCCGTATCCTCTGGGGAGCTGGAGTTTGCTTTTCCAAAGCCTGCAGGGATGGAAAAGAGGCTCCCGAGCCAGGTGTCACCTGTTGGTGGCAAATCCCCGGAGCAGCTCCTCGATCCCAGCAAAGCCGTGCTCGCTGAGGATTGGGATTTCCTGGGATCTCATGGAATTTTTTGTCCCGTTTTGCAGGCTCCTGGCAGGGGCGGTGCTGCAGCCTGGAAAAGCGGCGCCGGCGGCGCTGGAAGACAGAAGGAGGTAAGGATGGAAAAGCGTGGGATTAAAAAGATGGAAAAAGGCGTTTCTGACGTTCCGAGGGGTGGGATTGGATGGGATTTAAGGCGTTTTCCAAGCCAAAGCATTCCAGGATTCCGTGCCATTCCTGCTCTCGGGAATCTCCCACACTGGGATCACCGTTCCCGCTCTTTTTCCATCCCATATCCGTGGATCCCGTGGGCTCTGGGATGCTGAATCCCTTCAGGATCATTTTCCCTTTGGATCCCAATTTCCAGGTTCTCGGAGCCGGGACCGCCGGGAAACCCCAGCTGATCCCGTAAATCCATCCCCAAATCCCGAATTCCCAGCTGGTGTTAAATATCCGTGGAAATGTGAGGGTAGGACGGAATATTTTGGCAGAAAAAGTAATAAAAAAATTGGGAATTATTGATGGAAGAAATCGGAGGCATCGTTTGGGGTGGGGCATCCGTTCCTTTGGAACCAGAACTTCGAATTGGCAGGAATTATATCCATGGAATTTTATCCATGGAATTTTATCCATGGAATTTTTTCCACTCAGTTTTACCCATGGAATTTTATCCATTGATTTTTATCGGCTGAATTTCATCCATTGAATTTTATCCATGGAATTTTATCCACTAAATTTTATTGATTGGTTTTTATCCACTGAATTTCATCCTTGGAATTTTATCCGTAGAATTTTATCCATTGAATTTTATCCCTTGACCTTTATCCATGGAATTTTATCCACTGAGTTTTATCCATGGAATTTTATCCATGGAATTTTATCCATTGACCTTTATCCACTGAATTTTATCCATTGAATTTCATCTGAATTTCATCCATGGAATTTTATCCATAGAATTTCATCTGAATTTCATCCATGGAATTTTATCCATGGAATTTTATCCATTGACCTTTATCCACTGAATTTTATCCATTGAATTTCATCTGAATTTCATCCATGGAATTTTATCCATGGAATTTTATCCATTGACCTTTATCCACTGAATTTTATCCATTGAATTTCATCTGAATTTCATCCACGGAATTTTATCCATGGAATTTTATCTGCCGAATTCCATCCGTTGAGATTTACCCGTTGAATTTTATCCACTGAATTTTCCCTATGGAATTTTATCCCCTATCGACCCGCTGCGATTTTCCCGAAAGACTTTTCCTACCTGCACGAAACCCGAGCTAAATTAAATTAACTTCATTAAATTAATTAATTACTCAGCACAACGCTGCCGTTTCGACCCCCAACGCTTTTTTTTTTTAATTACTTTTCACCCTCAAATTAAATTTGGGATTAATTTTTTTATTAAAACGTTCCTCCCGGAGATTCCAGATTATCATTCCGTTCCCAGGAGGAAGAGCTCTTCCCATTTAACCTGGACGAGTTCGTCACGGTGGACGAGGTGCTGGACGAAGCCGAGTCTCCGGCGACGCCGCGGCGAAACCCCCCGAGGGGGAAGAGAAAAGAAGCTCCCAAATCCAACCCTTCGGAGCCGCCGGCGTCCAAGAAGAGGAAAGGGAAGAGTTGCGGAGCCGAAGGTGAGCTGTCCTTTGTCACCTTGGATGAGATCGGGGAGGAGGAGGAGGAGGACGCGCCGGTGCCGCTGCCGGGCGTCGACCCCCAGGGCCTGGTGGTGGTGGATGAGGTGGTGGAAGAGGAGGAGCTGTCGGAAGCGGTGAAGGATCCGCAGGCGCTGCTGACGCTGGACGAGATCTCGGAGCAGGAGGAGCCGGGTTCCCACGGGAACGGGCCCAGGGTGGAATTTGAGGAGCGGGAGCTGAAGGCCGAGCCCTTGGTGACCGTGGATGAGATCGGGGAGGTGGAGGAGCTGCCCCTCAACGAGCCCGCGGAGCTGAGCGCCGCCGAGGAGGGCAAAGCCAATGCCGGGGATTGCGGCGCCTCCCAGGTGCCCGACGATCCCAACGCCTTGGTGACCGTGGATGAGATCCAGGAGGACAACGAGGACAATCCTCTGATGACTCTGGATGAGGTTAACGAGGATGAGGATGATTTCCTGGCTGACTTCAATCACCTCAAAGAGGAACTAAACTTTGTTACAGTCGATGAAGTCGGCGACGAGGAAGAAGAAAACTCTTTCCCAGGGAAGAACCCGCCTGAAGATGAAGATGACGAAGATATTGTTGCTGTTGCAGGACCAGAAGAAATGGGAATTCTGGGAGATACAAATCCAGAGGAGGAAGTGGCTGAAATCTCTAAGCCAAAAGGTGAGGAACATCAAGGCCAGCTTGGACAGGGCTTGGAGCCACCTGGGCTGGTGGAAGGTGTCCCTGTCCATGTCCTTCAGGTTCCTCCCAATCCAAACCATTCCATGACTCCATCATTCCATGATTCTGTTCCGTGATTCCGTGATTCCATGATTCCATCCCAACGTGCGTTTCTGTCTCCAGCAGCTCAGCTGGGATCAGAAGAGGCAGAACCAAAATCTCAGCAGAAGAAAACGACTTTTCCAGGTGTCCCCAAGACTCAGAGCACTCCCAAAGGTAAATCCAAAGGAATTCCCCAAAAATGCTCCGGCTTTTCCGGGCTGGGAGATTCTTTCCCACCCATTTGAAAATTCCTCCCGTGTCAACCTCAGAGGGCCCAGAATCCGTGGATTTTCTTGGCTCCTCCAAATCCATGTTTAACCGGTTAAACTCGGAAGCCTCACGTGGAAAGTTCTTTTTTTTCCCTGGAATTCCCAAATCCAGGTGGAATTATTGATTATTGCCAGGTGTGGTGTTTCCTGGGGGTTCCCATCCTCTGGCGAGTTTTATTCCCAATATTCAGTGTTTGGAAAGGAGGGAATTGCTGCCAGGGATGTGAAATGGGGGTGGAGAGATGTAGAATTCCAGGGGGTCAGTCCTCGGGAATTCCTGAATTTCCATGGAGTCGGTTCCTCAGGAATTCCTGAATTTCCATGGGGTCA